TAGAGAGTTAACTCTAACAATATTCTTACGCTCATTACATAAAAGAGTTTGAAACATTTCTTAACAAAGTGAATCAAATTCTGCAAGTTGAGCTCAATACAAACATTCAAGAACAACAACATGTACGGAAAGCACTTCTTAAGTTGATTGTTGTACTTGAGTTCTTCCTTGAAGATGACCTTCTCTTTTATAAGCTTATGAGTTTTTTTGTTCCAAATCTTGAGTTTGTGTTTATGTATATGACAATATATTATAAAGACATAAACTCCTAGGGACTTCCCATTGGCTGAAACGTGCTTCTCTTGAAAGATGTACACCTATCACATCAGAGGTGGCAGCTTTTATTACAACTTTCTTGTCGTCCTTTTACATACAGAGACTTGTAGGGACTAGTTCCCTTGCAAACTTTTCATTACCGAGGTCTTGAGAAGACTTGTTGTCTCTCTTTCCTTTGAGTGAATGAATCTTCTAGTTGTTTGTCATTTCTATTATATCGACTAAAAAGATTTATTGACCATTGGACAACAACTTCGTCCATTTCAATTGGTTAAGTACACTGACAACTTCACAAACCCGCTGACAGGACAACTTTAAAGTTGTATACCATATAAATTTAGACGATAACTCTACAAGGAACCAGGTCCCTGCAAATTTAGGCTACTTAAAGACAGTCTCGTCCGCTCCTCCTATTGGTGCAGTATGCTAAAATTTTAACCTACCACATGACAGGACAATTTTACAATTGTACCTAGAATAAAACAATTACCTACTGTATTTTGGCACCATATTCCTCTTAATCCTCGTCTACAAAATGTGATAAATTCAATCTTAATCAATTTTCAGTCTATTGATCTCTTCATCATTCTATTGTAATGGAAAAATGAAAAGCCATGTAAGTTTATAATGCGTGTCTTTTTCTTTTGCTTAGCTGACATGTCCAATGATTGTATATAGTTTATTGTAAATCCAATTGTATGCTATGTCAAGCACTGAAAATAGATGTCTAATATTTCACCGGGATTTTTGAGACTGTACTCGGTGTAATACAACTGTAGTTAGTAAGAGTGGAAACTATCAATGCTCAAAAGTTGAATGTCCTCGCATCATGTGCAAGTATAAACTCCTAAATGTTGAAGCAAAGTCACAACTACTTAAGTGAGATGTACTCACTTAGTTTCTTAAATGGTAGAGGTGGATTCAGGATTTTAAATTTATATGTTCTATACCCTAGGAATAAGATCTTTTTCTTGACTTGTCGAACATCATTTAGTGAAATCACTTTCTAATTATATCTGTATAATAGTATGCATTCATTTTATGTCTTTATAAATATACTATATTCGATTTAAAAGTAAACCTAAAATAACCATTATCTCAAGGTAAGTTATTGCGAGTGTCTTAGATTGTGTTCATATACATTTAATATGAGTTTTGATTTCACTCTGGAGGCCTTTTCCAGCATTTTTCTAATCAGCTAAACTGTTTAATCATTTAGGATTAAAGTAAGACTGCAAATGAATCCTTAAAAGAAAAAGGGAACGGTGAGTTTTATCAAAGTAGGGATAGATAAAAAACATGTCACATTCTCAGAAAAAGCATAAACTTTCTCGAAATATTCCAACTTGGTGAAAATAGTACCAAGGCTTGTGATTACAATACTTACTGAATCAACATGATGATCGCGTTCATATACACAACAATGTAACAAATCTCAAATGAACTGACCCATCACAATGTCCAAATAATTCCATTGAGTTAGAAGCTTCTAGAGAATAGAAAGCTAAGAGTGACCTTACTCCATCACCTACTCCCACACCTATTTGCCAATCTGCAAGTAATTCTTCATTTGTTACGGTCATTTTCTTCTCATTCTCTTCGCGTTAGATCAAATCTCTTTATTCCGTGACAGAGATCATCTCTTCGCAAGACTATTAATTTAAAAGTTTTACGTTTGAATATCTAAGACAAAAATATCCTATAGTTGATAACAGAGTTGTCTGGAAAAAAATTGGTTCTATCAATGGGAATAGACTACTTAAAATAAATAGTAAAGAAAGAGAACAACCAGTATAAAGAAATTCATGTTAGGAGTGTTACCCCATGATGGGCTCTACACTACGCCATCCGGATTTAGTCGGAGCTCTACTGAGGAACTTGGTGGTAAACTAGAAAAAGAAAGAGAAAAACTAGTTAGGATGGGAATTCGATCACTTTGTAGATTAGCCTATACGACTCTATCTAAATGTGGGATGTTTCATGTACTGTGTTTTCCTTTGCGCTATTGTATTTATCACTTCACAAAGAAAGATGATTTAAAGCTCTAATAACTTACTTAAGGTCCTAAGGAGAATACAAATTAATATAATCAAAACTTGGGCATCAAATTCTTGGAGGTTCAAAATTTGGGTATATGATAATTGCACGAAGGTCATTTTATCAAAATAGTCCATACAATTTTGGTATATAACAATATACGATATGATTGTTATCGCGAACGTAAATCGTTTCAAGTGAATTATATATCAAAAGACTCAAAATATCGAGAGAATTTCATATCTAAATTTTTGTGCTATTTAGAGGTGTTTCAAGTTGATTGAGATGGAATAGTCAAGGTATACTTCATGTATAGTCAATTTGTACTTCATATATAATTAATCTATAATTAATTTTTTGAGTATACCGTCATGTATAAATATTCTATATTAAGTAGTCAGTAATCATTATATAATTTATATGACTTTTAGCAAACTATATATATATATATATATATATATATATATATATATATATATTTAGTCAACGTATATTTTCAACAATATTTTCAATTATATGACAATATTTATTTTAAACTAATTACTAATTTATTATATATACTTGAAATTATTCCTTAATTAAATTTTAAAAAAATAAAAAATTACTAGTGAATTCAGTACAATTTTAGTTATTGTCTCAGAAAGTCTCACATATAGAAAAAAAATTAACTCTTATCCCACTCACACTCTTCAGTTACTTAGTAAGAAAAATATTAGAAGAAGCAAAAGTTGTCGTTGTAGGGTTAATATCACATCGTTTCCTTCTTTTTTAAGTTACTTTGCTTCATCAACCTCCAATTTCGATTGCACAGTCCTACCGGTTGCTAAATTTGATGGATGCCTATAAGTTTTTTTACTCACCGACATTACTTCTTTATCTGTTGAACATTGCTATGTTTTGTAAAAAAAATAAAAAAATAAGCAGATTTGAGATATGGATGAAGTTTTGATGTTTTTTTCCGGTGAATTGATCACTGGGAGGAGCTCTTTTTTAGTTTTCATTCTATTTAGAGTTGAACATACAGCAATGAAAAACACGATTTTTTTTCTATTTGTTTTTTGTATCGTGGATTCTATTTTGATGAAAGTAGGGAGGATTTTCTTGTGTGTTTGGTGGAGGAATAAATGTGTTTGCTAATATATTATATATATAAGGGAGTTTGGCCATGACAATTGAGAGAATTTGGAAAAAAAATGGTACTTTTCACTCCAAATCAGTCACAAAAACTCAAGAGCAACTCCAATTTACATTCATAACCAAACACAAATCCGATTTTCAAATTTAAAATCTGAGTTGTGTATGGTTGTAAATGTAAATTGGAGTTGTTTTTGAGTTTTTGAAAGTGATTTGGAGGGAAGAAGTGAAAACAACTTCCTTATGTTCTCCAAATGGATTAAAAATTTAGAATTTTATGTCATAAAATCCCCGAATTTTCATGAAATTCGAAAACATTAAAAAATTTGTTTTTCACTTCTTTTTCCACTCCAAAATACTCACAAATACAAATAAACAAGGGTTCAAGTTATTTCAATGGCGAAGAAAGAAAAGATGTTTAAGAATGAATCATATATAAAGTTTATTTTCTTGTAAAAAATAGATTTCAAAGTGATGCGTTCAGTTTTTTTGGAAGTTATTTCTTCCCTCTCATTTTACTTTTGGGTGCTTTATTGAGGAGACAAGTATTAGAATTCTAAAATTTGATACATATGAAATGTTGCATATGACTAGTTGTCAGAATGGATAAGGGTGATGTATAGATTATAGATGCGGAGAAGAATGTTTGTGCTAGTGATGTTATTGTGTCTGATGAGTCCCCGATCATTTACAATACGGTGTTAAGACTGGCAAATGCAAAGCTGACGACAATACAGCTGAACAGAGTGATTCAAAGGGGGGGGGACTTGAAGAATGGGGAAGCAATCTAAGAATATTTGTGCAATGGTACATACACTTATTCATAATATTTGTTTTCAAATTTAAGGTTAAAAAGTCTTGTTTATGAAATTTCATCAAAAATATAAATATGATCATACAAGAATCCATGATTATGACATACATGTACAAAGAAAGCTACTTAAGTTGGGCAAATACATCAATAGTCACTAGAATAATGGATATCTTGCATTCGAAACTAGTTGTGCACCTACAAACTTCATATTATTTTAATGGGAATTTAATTATTTATGCGTGAACACTAAATATATTTGATTGAATTTCATACAGTATTATTTTTTAAAAAACACTATGATATATGCGGATAGGATGCCAACCATAAGTTTGTTTAAATACATGTATCAAATGGAAGAACATTAATATTTTAGAACTATATATATCTTAAATGAAGGCCTTGAAGTTGGGTAACTTAGAAATATGATATTGAACTTTTGACCACGTTTACTCTGAGGATAAACTTCATGTTTAATAAATTTTAACTCTTTTACTTTAAACTTTAAAGGTTTACTCATAATCCACAAACAAGCGAAATAATCTTTTGCATAAAATAAACTATATATTAGTGCATTTGATCGCTAGATACAAGCCCAAGCCCGTTATTATTGAAATAATTTATTATTACTTAATATGTATCAATACAAATATAATTTTACAACTCCCGAAAGAATAATACTATAAATATAGAGAAACATACAATCCATTATTGTACACTCCTCTTTTTAAATTTAGTTTTATACTATTCATAATTGTTTGTACGATAATGACATAAATAGAAGTATATAAGCACCACAATAAATAAGCATATAACAAGGATTTCAATTTCGCTGTCTATTCATCATGACTTTTTTAAAGTTTGTTTCCAAATTTTAGATGGCTGATGGTGAGGATGATGAAATCTCTCCTCTGTATCAAGCACCATTTATAGGAAAACTAAGTACCTTTTACCGGGAGATGGCGATGAAACTTAAACTACCTAAGTTTTACGGTCATCCACTTAATTTCCTAAAGTAAGTCTATCATAGTTTTATCATTTAGACTTTTTATTTTCATATTGTTCCTCATACATATTATATATTTTCATGTTCTTCGTTCTAGGTTAATGGAGATCAGTGATCAGATTAGGTGGCTATGATCGTGTAAGCCTTCTATTTTGCACTTATATTTGATTAGTTCTCGATTATAGATTTTACCTTTTTAATTGAGTCAAAAACTACAGAAGATATTTTTAACTTCAAAAAAATGTCCTCACTTAATTGAAGCAATGGGTCAATAATCGAGTGTAATAAGTCAAGGAACTTTTTTTTGATTAACCATGACTTTATGTGGTCATTTTTGTTTTAAAAAAAATTGCGGCTTATTTACACGGCCATGTGTAAGGCATCCATAAAGGGATAGGTTTATCTTTCCAAATATCACGATGTGAACCTCGAGTTGTTAGAGATAGTATTCTTAATTTTTCTTTTAAGAGATAAGTAATGTAGCTCTGTACTTTCTAGTATAATTTAAAAAAATCAAGAGGTGGTTGTGTATTTTCTTTTGTTACTAGGTTGATTAATTAATGATGCAATATGCTATGAGTCTGTGAGATGAATTTTATGTCATTCCTATATACTTTTGATGGTGTACTAATAAGCTACTTTATCTTTGTAAGTAACTGAATTGAAGTCGTGGCGGCATGTGGGAGACTCCTTTAATCCCCCACCCCCCAAGTGAGCATTTATTTGGGCCTTGTTATTTCTGTTTTTCTGGAAATTTGATAAGAATATTTCTCATTGCTCGTCAAATATAAAATTCCCAATATGCAATTTGTACGGGAGATGTTGTCTGTTATTGTTTTAGTGATGATGTGCCATGATTTTGATGTTTATTTATGTTGTTTTGTGAAATGCTGCGATATATTTTGGGTACATGAAATAGGAATAAGCTGCTTTGTTGCTAGAATACATATCAGATGGTGGTAGAAGAACATTGTTCATGAACTATTTAAAATCTTAATATCTACTCCCGTTCTTTCAAATGTTTGTCTTGTTTTGACTTGACGTAGTCTTTAAGAAAGTAAATAATTTTTTGAATCTTATAGCCTTTGATAAATCTAGCTTTTGGTCCAGTTATTTTACTTAAAATTATAACAATTTTTTCAAAATTAAGAAGTATATACATTAGGAAGAAACACCATGAAAGGAAAAGTAATGATTCATATAAATCACTTAGTGAGAAATGTCACGAAGAAATCCAATGAGTAACATAATCTTGTTATATAGAAAAGATCAACTATTGCCTTTGTTAGACAAATCATATAGCTTTGCGATTTCATAGACTAAAGAGGTTATCAAATTAATGGTAATTGTTGTGAACATATGTCACCTCGACGTAACTCAACTCCAGCTCGTGAGCTTCGGTTTTTCCATTTCCATATGACGAGTCAAATTTCGCTTCCCTTTTCCGCTGTGGGATTTCTTATCATTTCTTGTACGCCCATACCTCAACCAAAGTGTGAGCCTTATAAATGGGGACCCAATATTGGTGAACAAAAAACTGGATGTGTCTAAGTTTAAGACCATATAAATATATGACACCTGAGTCTATCTCAATCTCAAAAGCTAGCTCATGAGGGGAGGTTTGTCCAAGTCCATATAAGAAGTCTAATTCTCCATTCCTCTTCCGATGTGGGACTTTTAAACAATTACAAATGAAACAATGAAAAGGAATTGTGAGTTAATGTATGCTCAAGGTTAGAAATATCATAAAAAAATTTAAAACGAAGAGACCCTTAATTACATAATTTTAAATGGAAATTAGTAATCAAATTTATTATAAGATCTTTTTATCCGTTTGAACACTATTGATTCTATTTGGTAAGATACTATGATCTTGAACTCTTTACTTCAACAATGATAAATTTTATTTGGTGGTGTTGTTGTGCAATTGAAGTATTCTCTACGATTAAATTTAGGAAGATATGTTGTGATGAATATGAATATGATGTCATGATATGATTATGATCAATGTGAGATCATTTTGAGGCTATGTTAATGCAAGTTTGAACATGCTTTTCCTTGTGTTCCTTAGATGATAAGGTAATGATATATTTATCTCACTAATTGTAAGGATCCTAAAAATAAATTAAGGTTCTTAGAGTCTCACATTTGTTTTAAAAGGGTTAAAATGTTTTAATTAAGTGTTCTATAGTATGCATACATTATTTGAAGTCATTTAGAGGTTAAGCTTCCAAGAACGTTCAAGATGTTGAAAAACTAGTCATTAGACGTGCTAGTGTGTCCTCATTTGTTTGCCTTGTTTTTAAGTATTGTTTGAAGTCCAAAACCCTAGGTATGACCATAGTATCTTAATAGACATGTTTATAGTCAAAACACTCAGGCACGACTCCTCGAGGACAACCTAAGGGCCCTTGAGGAGGACCCATATGTAGGACAAGAAAGTGATGTACCATGGTTTGATGGTACATTCAATGCTTTTTCCTTAAGTATTGTGTGTGTTTAAGGCATTTTTTTAGTAACTTTTATTTATTATTTATTGTAGGAGAACCTTACAGAATAGAAACATTGAAGACTGTGTTGAAATAAGTGAAGAACTGATGACCTAGGGAGCCATTGATGGTCCATAGACCCGTTGACGGTCAGTATGTGATGATTGTCGACTAGAGGTTCAAGATGCTGAAAGTAATTTGGGGAATTTCGACCAAGTGTGGGGCTATTGAAGGATCGACGGTCCATCGAATAATCGGCGGACCGTCTTGGAAAATCGTTGATGGTAACAGAAAGTAGTCCCAGTACACGACTTGAAGAACACACTAAGTATGGAGGAACGGAGGTAGTCGATAGACCGTAGGTCTACTGATTGACCGTGCTGGTGGATCGTCGATGGAAACAGAAAGTTTTTAAATGAGTACGCTGAAGATGATTTGATGTATGGACCGACGGAATCTATCGAAGGTCCGTCATAGGTTGTTCGTTAGCTGAAGACGCATTTTTAAAAATATTTTCCTTATTAATAACTCCTTTTATTTTGGAATTTATTATTATAAATAGGACTAAAAACCTTATTTTTAAGGTTAGACTTTTTACTATTTTTCAGATATGTTTTATTAGAAGTTAAACTTTGTTTTTTTGGAAGTACTTCAATTTTCCGAAATCTTTTCTTCCAATATTTTAGTTTATTCAATTGATATTTCTTGGTTTTCTTCAAACTTGTTTAAGTAAGTACATGATTTATTGTTTAACAATTATGAATTGTATAATTGTTAGCATGGGTAATGAAATCCACAACTAGGGTTGTTGGAACCATGGGTAATTAACGTAGATGTATCATACACTATATAATAGGCTAGTTTCAATTGTTGCGAAGTAGTAACTTAGCCATACATTGAAGATGACGATTAATATAAGGTAAATGTAAGGATTTCTAAAGTAAACACAGGTATCCCAGCGAAGGTAGGAGTGAAATTCCCTAGTTGCCAGACCAAGGAATTAGCGATACATAACTTATTACTTTGCATGCAAGATACTAGGAAAGAATTTTTATCACTAGGATTATCACATTATAAACCTACGGGGAACAGTTACAACCTAGTTTCTCTTATCACATGATAAACACCAAAGTTATAAACTTGCTATTAGACTTAGTTAGAAATAACTAAACATTTTTGGTATACAAAACTCCCCCTTTGGTTAATTGTTTTTTGAAATGACTTGACTAAATAAAAGTAATCATAAATTGAAGTCAAGTATAAACCGTTTTCCTCGTCGGATCGACCCCTACCTTACAATTAGGTTCTTTACTTGAGACGACCGCTTATGTTTCTTTAGGGAAGTATAATTTAAGCATATAAAATTTTACCGCCGCTGCTGGGGAAAGTGGCTTTTATATTAATCTTAAGCACATTACATATTGGTCAACAATTTCATTATTTTACTTTTTCTTTTAGTTTTTGTCACTCGCAGGTCTAGCATTAGTGTTTGCCAAGTACACGGAGTTGAAGAGAACCAATACTCTCACTTGATCAAGAAGTAAATAGTACACTTCACAGATAGAATATTCAAAACAATCCTGCTTATATCGATGATGAGATCAACCCTCAACTTCCCCCGCCGATTGATGCTCATAAACAAGTGATTGATGATAACCCTGGTGAAGGTAATCCAAGGAGGCAATCTCCAGCCCCACACCCTCAAGAGTACTATAGGGGAAATATTAACATCACTGACTCTGATGTGCCACTTGTCCTACTTCCTGTATAACATGGACATACTTTCGTGGTAACTAGTAGCTTGATGCAGATGCTCACCGCAAGAGGGTTTTTTCGGGGCTAGCGTCAGAGGATCCAGATGTTCATATCGCCAAACAAAGCTCGGTGTATAAGAGTTGTATAGGGAGGATAGACTTAGACATGGATGTAATAGGATTAAGGATGTTCCCTCTCTCACTTATGGGGGAGGTCGCAAGTTAATTTACTGAGTTACCCTAAAATCAATCTATACTTGGGAGCAATTGAGGGATGTGTTCCTAGCAAGGTATTACCCGATTTCTTAATAGCTCAACTACAAAAATAAGGTGAACAACTTTGTGGCATTACTAAGGGAGTCAATAAGCATTTCTAGGGATAGTTTCACATCATTCTTGAGAAGTATCCCAAACCACTGCATTGATGATGAGTCACTGAAAGAGTACTTCTATCGGGGCAAAGAAGATAAAGTTAAAGTAGTGCTCAATATGATTGCGGGTGGTTCTTATGGTTAGTGTACTTATGAATAGATAGCTCAAAAGTTAGAAAAAATCTCTCGTAATAATAAAGCTTGGAGAACTAGACAGTCGGATACAGAGAGAAGAACTTTTGTGGTGCAAGCTTGACACAACCCAGCCACAGATGAGATTCGTGAAGAGGTGGCTTAAATGAGAAATGATATTGTTTGGTGTTCAAACATTTCTATGGGGTGCGGAAACACTAAATGCAGTTAATCATTTGGCCAAACAACCACTACCTGTTGATGTCTACTATAATGAAGAAGATTCTTATGCAATAAATTAGCAAATTGGGGGTTTCCGACAGAATACCCAACCGAGAGGGTCTCTATGTTTGAGATGGAACCGCGAAACAATTTCAACCGGGGTAGCTATAAATAAAAAAATTTGATCGGAGTGGGCCCTATTTTTCACTTCAAAATTGGCAAGTTGCTCCTAGAGATGGTGGAGGTAGTCTGGCGCGAGTTTACGATAAGTTGTAGAAGATGATGAGGATGTTTAATGCTAGTTATGAGAATGCCAAAGCGGTGAGAGGTGATTTAGCAAATATTGAGCAAAAGGTGGATGCACATGCAATCTCAATAACGCACCTTTAGTTGCAAATGGCTCAATTGTCTTCTACTAAGAACCCACATCAACCAGTTACTCTTCCTAGCAACACTGTTCAAAATGGAAAAAATGATAGACATTGTATGTCCGTTATTACTCGAGGTTGTAAGCAAACAATAAATCCACCTATGCTGTCTTTCATAGAAGATGATATGAGAAGAGAAGATGAGGTAGTAGAAGCTAGTGTGGAGTGGTAGATGAAGTAGTAAAAGAAGCTGCGAGACCCTAAAAAGTAAGTCCAATTCCTAGACGACCACCTCCCTTCTGCGCATATTCGTGAAAAAGACCAAAGATGAAAAATATCAGCGTTCTATTACAAAGTTCAAATAGCTTTCCATCAATGTCCCTTTGATAGAAGCTCACAATCAAATGTTCGATTATGCCAATTTCATGAAAGATATAGTCACAAAGAAGAGATCAGTTAGTGTTGAGGACGATGATCAGACACAACATTGTAGTGTTATCGCTACAAGATCTCTTGTTCAAAATAAAGAAGATACGGACTGTTTCACTATTCCATATACAATCGGATTGTGATCTTGGGGTTAGCATCAATCTCATGCTTTCTCCAT